ATTGGATTTTGGTTATTCCAAAAACATTGTACCTGTGAGTCCACTAACACGTTCTGCTGCCCAACCGGGTGGAAAGTCACATTAGTCGGCAGTCGCTTTACCTATGCCGCAGAATCGCGATATGCGCCAATAGAAGGAGAAGCTCTGGCCGTAGCTGATGCTCTCGACAAGGCCAGATTCTTTGTCTTGGGCTGTGTACCGACCTAACAATCGCTGTTGACCACAAACCATTATTAAAAGTGTTTGGCGACCGCTCTTTCGAAGACATCACCAATGGCAGACTACGAAACCTCAAGGAAAAAACCCTTCGCTATCGGTTCAAAATGGTCCACGTCCCCGGTGTTAAGCACAGAGCTGCTGACGCGCTATCTCGCCACACAACAGGTCCAACCAAACCAGAAAGGATGCTACTATCAGACGACGTCGCAGCTACCGCTGACTCAGAAGCCACCTTCCCCTTCAACGACCTTGGATACTTTTCCCTAGCAGGCGTCCGCTCTCAGGATCCACCACGCAACTACAACCCAGATGATCAACTAGCTTCATCAGCCTTGGCGGCACTCAGCACCATGGCAATAACATGGGAGAGAGTTAAGCTGGCGACCACAAGCGACCATGACATGACACAATTGATCACTCTCATCGAATCTGGGTTTCCCCGGCTCAGACACGAATTACCATCCAACCTTCAAGAATACTACCCATTCCGCAACCATCTCCATACCATAGACAGTGTCATCATGTACAAGGAGAGAATTGTCATCCCACCCCCCCCTCCGCCCACACATCCTCAGTGTACTACATTGTGCCCACCAAGGAGTGACTTCCATGATAGCACGAGCCAAGTCAACAGTCTTCTGGCCAGGCATCACTCCCACTGTCACAGCGCTTCGAACCAACTGTCAACACTGCAACCGCATGGCCCCCTCTCAACCCAGCGCCCCACCCTATCCTCCCACACCAGCGATCTACCCTTTTCAATGCATCTGTGCAGACTTCTTTCACCACAAAGGCATGCAATACCTCGTAATTGTTGACTGTTACTCTAACTGGCCAATCATCGAGTGAGCACAAGATGGGGCGAAAGGTCTAATCAATTGCTTGAGACGCCTGTTTGCCACCTTCGGAATCCCTGATGAGTGCGCTACAGATGGTGGCCCAGAATTCACTGCAGCCTCCACCCGTCAGTTCTTTAAAGATTGGGGAGTTAACCACCGTCTTTCCTCTGTGGCATTCCCGCATTCCAACTGCAGGGCTGAGATAGGCATTAAAACCGTTAAACGCATCATAACCAACAACACAGACACACGAGGAAGTCTTGACACCGACTCCTTGCAACACGCAATCCTACAATATCGCAACACACCAGACCCAAACACCAACCTATCCCCCGCACAATGTGTCTTCGGCAGGCCCATCAAGGACTTCATCCCCATCTTACCAGGCCGATACATTCCCCACCCCACATGCGGAGACACCCTATCTGCCAGAGAGCAAGCTCTAAGAAACTGCCACATGCAAGCGTCAGAACGCTGGTCTGAACACACCAAACGACTACCACCCCTGAAAGTTGGCGACCATGTTCACATCCAAAATCAAACTGGCCCCCACCCCACCAAATGGGACAAAACCGGCGTTATCGTGGAAGTACGCCAGTTTGACCAATACATCGTCAGAGTTGATGGGTCTGGTAGAGTCACCATGCGCAATCGCAAGTTCTTACGACAATATGTCCCTGTTGGTATATTACCACCTCATCACACGATCATGGATGATCTACGCCAACATCACTACACCTTCAGCTGACATACCAACCCTCCCTGACCCACAACCAATGCTGCCTGAACAACCTCAACCACAATGGCGAAAAACCGAGAAACCCACCCAATCCCATTCCACCACCAAGCATCCCAACTGATGAAAACCCACTACCGATTACCGCCCCCAATGTTGTACCAATAACTCTAGGTACTCCACCACCCACAGCGGACCAACAAGCAACCGACAACCAGGTCCCTTCAAGAAGCAAGAAACCACCCTTAGCCCTGAGAAGACTACTAGGCCACAATATAAAAAGGACTAAAAGAATAATCACAGACCTTTATATAACTTTTCATATTCAGACAATCAGTCTTCAACACTCTCTGATCCAAGAACCATTTACGACTCGGGGGGAGATAGAACATAATGGGTTACCTGTAGAATAGGAAACTGGTAACTAGTTGTAGTTTCACTGTGTACTTGTTCTGACTTCTCGTCATTCCGTGACGAGCTCGATTATTATTAAAATATTGTGTTATCTGGAAATGGACGAAGTCTTATCTATTTTTCTTTCTTCATTCTTGGTTTCCAAAAACAAGTGTAGCACAGTAATAGTTTTACATATCCTTCGGTTTTTTGTGAGGGACGAGCTTTTTTTCTTTCGTTCTGAAATAAAATTGTCAACAGAAACGGTGTCCGTAAATCGAGCAGCCATTTTGATTTTCAAATTGAAATATAGGTTCTGCACCAAAATATTTGTGGTGGAAAACGAATGTATTTTCCAGTACGATCATTTATCACTGGTGAAAAAAACATCGTTCGTCCAATCAGACAGTGTGAATGATGTTGTTTCACTAGTGAAATTTCATCGTTCGTGTCGCTGATTGGCTGTGGCAAAACTCCGTATGATTATTATGCAATGCCATTTTAATGATCATTTTGAACAATTGTCCTCGACTTGCTACAGCACCTTGGTCACTCTTAGGAAAATAAAGAACTTTACTCCATTTTATCTACGAAAGCAGTTGGCCGAACAGCTTATTTTGTCCAAGATGGACTACAGTGATCTTGTTTTTAACCCTCTCCCCAACTACCTTTTAAGTAGGCTGCAAAAGATCCAGTTTTCAGCAGCTAGTTTTGTTACCGGAAAATATGTGAACTCTGCGGAAACTCTATTAAAGCTTAACTGGCTGCCGATGCGTGAACGTAGAGATTTCAACCTACTCAAAGCCACCCATAAAGCAATTTATTCACAGAACTGGCCGAAGTGTGCTGCAGTTGAACTATATAAACCAGCTTCACAGCCTACGCTCGAGTACCAGCTTAAATTTGGTTAGGCCCATGGAAAAGGGTACTTTCCAAGACATTTCATCCGAACTGTTCAATAGCCTACCATCTGACATTAGATCTATATACGACTACAGTCAATTCTGTACAAAAGTTAGGGCTGTACTAAAGTCTCGTATAATGTAAATATGCACTAACATTTTTATCTAAATATTCATTTTCTATATTACCTAAGTTTGTATATATATTTACATTTAGCTAAAACATTTTTGTATGTAGTTTCAATAGGGGAAGAGCCACCTCGTGGATCTTATTGATTAAATCATTATTATTATTATTATTAATGAATAAATCTCAGTACTTATATAATAAATAATAATATGTAACTCTCGTTATTCTTCAACCATAAAGTATTATATTATAATTTTTTATCTATAACAGAATGTATTTGTATCGTTTTGAGTGTAAATAAACTATTGTTGTTGTTATATTTAAACCAGATCTTAGCATTTTTACTGTTGTAACAGTTCCGCACGTTACTACGACATGTGCCAGGTGATCTCGTGTTCGTATTTTAGCCAATCAGCGCTCAGAAAGGGTTGTCCGAATAGAAATCCATTTTGATGTATTCAGTCAATTATATCTTTCATTATTCTTCATGAAACTAGTTGAAATTTTGTAATTATGTTTG